GTGCCAATCACATAGCGAAATATCCAACCCAGCTTGTGGCTTGGCAGTATCGCCAATCAGCACCCTCGACACACAAACAACAACACATCAGACCAACACCTACAGAGCATTTTTTAATCCGGGTAATAATAATATCGTTCAACGACACAAATATGTCGCCATCTGCGGCCGTGCAGAGTAATATTCACCAATAAACGGGAATCAGTGCTCTCGTTCTGGATTACAAAGTCTCCACGCATCGTCCAGGGGCGCTCGCGGCGGGAACTCTCGCGTTCGGGGAAGTATTTCGGGTCGTTGAGGATGCCGTGAGGTTAGCAATAAAGACCATCGTACTGGCGAGGGGATGACGTAGCCTCACTAGCTGTATGCTTCGGCGGTTCGTGCTGTGTTTCAGATTCAGCGGCACGATGTCCGCCTAGAAAAAGAAAGAAATAGCCAGATGCGTTCTACGGATCTATCTAGACATTTAGGTAGTTCGGCTCGCTCTCATTTGCCCTGGTTTGTACATTTAAGTCAAGGTTTTATCCAGGGGTGTACCGAAGTTTTCCACGATGTTCTTCCAAATTAATAGAAACAGTGATTACATTGACCCCGTAGCATTATCGTCATTTAAACACATTCAAGAGTGAATATACGTCACGAACCGCCCTTGAGAACGTAGCACAGGTGGAAGGCCACAAGATGTGAAACAGCAATTCATCACTTATACACTTTACACACGCTAACATCGAGCGAGACACGCAGTTTTCTTTTTCCTCTTTGTCTGCTATACTGTCTACCGCACACACACACACCACACTTCATCCGTTCTGACCTGCCGCTACCTCTGCAACCTTCGCTAATTCAGTCACACGATGCCACACACCACACGCACGCGGCATTTCTCCACTAGTCATCATCTCCTTTCATCATCCAATCTCTCTCTCTCTCACTCGCTACCCCTCTTATGTTTTACTTTTCTCTCCTTGCGTACGTGTATTTCTCGTGTATTTTCATAAATTCTACGCCACACCACTAAAATCAGGCCTGCTGTCCATCACACAGGAATGCCAACTCACTGATGAATGCCACCACACACACACATACATCAACACGCTACCCTTTCTTTCTCACCTACCTCTCTGCACATCGGCTGCTGTCGCCCGCGCCATCCTCCACGCGCTGTCATCATCTTGGTCCGCCATTGCATGGTAGCCTCCCTCAGTCCTGATGAGCGTCATCGACTCGAACCTGCATTCTCGCAGCGACCGTGAGGGTATTTTGAGCAAGAAAGAGCAAAACCCCCGCGTACGTCGTCATGACGTGTGACGATCCGGCCGAGAAAAAGCACAGACAATAACAACGCCACACACCACACACACACACACAACACACGCACACACGCACACACACACGCACACACAGCAGCACACATCACACACACACAACAAAACACAACAACAACACACAACGACGAACCTTGTATACAATCCTGAAAGCTGAAGATGAACGCACAGCACACACACAGCACGATACTGTTGTGGTGTGTGTTGTGTGTGTGTGTGTGTGTGTGGTGTGTTGTGTGTGTGTGCATGTTGTGATGGTTATTAGATGTGCAAACAGACTTGACTCACTTAGTGAATGAAGAATCTGTCTCCGCCCGCTGCCGCTGCGCTAGCAGGTATGCGTCTAAAGTAGTCTCTCACGGCACACACCATCATCAATTCCCACTCACCTACACCGGCGGCCTGCTTCTCGTGCTCTGGCTATGTTACTCTGCAGCTCCTTGTTCACACACACAACTAGAGCACGCACAACGCCGCAGCGATCAGCTTCTTCTCAGTCATATGCGGCTGAAAGAAGGCAGGTGTCGCAGCACACGCGTAGAGAACGTTAAGCAATGCTCGCGTAATGACAACACTACTAGAGCGTAATCAACGTCCGCGGTGCAGGCAAAGTCAAACGTTTATCCGTCATATACCAGGATTCTTATTGGTTTCCAGGGGCGTCTAACGGCGCGCTCATTTTTCATAGACAGACGGGTAATTCTAGGAATCACAGAACACAGCAAAGACGTTTTTACGTGATTTTCCAGGAATTTTTGATGACTTAAATTTCCCACCACCATTTTCCACAACCGCGAGGCTTCAGTCGTTTAAGTTATACATCCTTGAAGAAAGCGGCAAAAGATCTCTAACGACACAAAAAGATAATTTACTTTTACGGGAATTTGTCGCGCAGTTATCTATAGGTTGCAGAGGCGCGTCGGTCACGATGCGAGTGTATATAAGACGTAGATATATAAATATATACATATATATACACCAGACACATCGCACGGTAACGAAAAAAAGTTACACGAAAACAATCTTCAACTACACCCAGAAACCGACATCGAGTACAACATACAGCTACCAACACCTCGACGCCATCGAAATACAGACACACCCACATTAAAAATCCTTCGCCACGTGTATTTTTATGTCTCCCGCTTACATCCAGAAACAAAGCTTGCCTAGGCGACATGAACACCTGATTGATTTCAAACAATTTCCAGGCACAGAACTGACGAGAACACACAACGACACACCGCACACACACATTGGGCACCGCGATGTTAAAGTAAAAAATGAAATCATTTCCACGTCTTGAGGAGCTCTCTGGTCGAATCAACAAGCGGCGTACACGTGGTTACAGAATGGGCTACGTACCATGTATGTTAAACAGACAGTATGTACCCTGTCATGTTACAGACGTACGTAACCGCTGTATGTTCAACCAACGGTACGTACCTGTATGCTTTACCGAGGACGGTATCGTACGTCGCGCTGTATGTTACCCGACGCGATCCAGACGAAGACTGGGCAAGTACACTGTATTTCCCTACAGACAGGTACGGTACCTGTATGTTCCGACACACACACGGTACGTCAACCTGTTGTACGCGACAGTGAACCCGTAATTACCTGTAGTTACCGACGTACGTATGTATGTTACCGGTCAGACAGGCGTGACTGTACGTACCTGTATGTTTAACCGAGGTAGTATCTGTATTAAACGGACTTGCTGGTGACGGTTACGATACCTGTATGTTCCCTGATCCCGCGACGGTAATCGGTTATACATGTATTTACTACTAAAGGTACGTACGTGTATGTGATATCGTAGAAGTGTCGTGATGGTGGGCGTTGATCAGCACTCCACACACAGCAGACACACACCACACAATCACATATACATACATACATATATAGATATATATATATAATAGTATATATATATATAATATATAATATTTACCTCCGCCGCAAACGGAGGTCATCAATTGCTCGCGTGTGTAGTGCAGTAACCACCGGCGTGATCGATAGCGCGTCGAGTACAGTCGAGTGGCGAGTCAGCAAGCAGCCCAACCAGTGAAAGCGGCTTTATTATAAATTTCCTGTTCACACCATACTCCTCTCCGATCAAAACAATGCTCTAGTTCAGGTTCATTTTCAACCATATAAACGATAAAGACCCCAGCCTTTGACAAGCAGCAAGTTAAAAACATATAACACTGGCAGGAATCTATAGTAAACTAAACCGTTCTGAGAAATGATCAGTAATGACAAAACAAAGAACGAGGGTGAAATTAGAAGAGGAGATCATTATCGTTTCTTGGAAAGCAAGCGAGACATTGGAATAAAAACTATATTCAGGAAAAATGAACTGTGGCGCTGGTTAATAGTTGGGACGCCTGGAAAGGCACCGCAATCTAGGTCTTAAGTGATGCGTAAATTCATGCACATAGTGGAAGGATTACACAAACGAAGACAAATTACAAAAAAAACATGCACAAATATAACCCTCCACAAAGAGACTCAAAGAAACACAAAGAGAGTGTGTTTGGGCTAACAAGAAATAAAGTGTACCTCCTGAGAAAATGATCAACCTGCTACCCAGAAAGAGGTTCGAACACAGGACCGCCCCCAGCACCAGCCTCCTGCCCCTGAACCTCGGGTTTCTCTCCAGTGTGCTTACGCATGTGTCTCTTGAGATACGCAAGCTGGGAGGCTCTATAGTCACATAAATAACACGCGTACGGCTTCTCTCCTGTGTGAGTGCGCATGTGTATCTTCAGAGTACTGGAATAGGCGGTTTTATAGTCACATGAATCACACGCGTAAGGCTTCTCTCCTGTGTGAGTGAACTTGTGTGCCGTGAGACCCGAAAGCTGGTAGGCCCTATAGTCACATAAATCACATGCGTAAGACTTCTCTCCTGTGTGAGTGCGCATGTGTCTCTGCAGAGTACTAGAGGTAGTAGTCCTGTATCCACATGTATCACACACATAGGGTTTCTCTCCTGTGTGAGTGCGCTTGTGTACCTTCAGACAACCACGGCGGGCGCTTTTATAGTCACATAAATTACACGCGTATGGCTTCTCTCCCATGTGAGTGCGCCTGTGTGCCTGGAGGGTACCAGAAGTCGTGCCCTTGTAGTCACACATGTCACACGCATAGGGCTTCTCTCCTGTGTGAGTGCGAAAGTGCGCCTTGAGAGCACCGGATGTAGTGCATGTATACGAACAAATATCACACATGTAGGGCTTCTTTCCTGTGTGCCTGCGCATGTGAATTTGAAGACTACCGAGCTGGGAGCATCTAAAATCACATGTATCACATGCATATGGTTTCTCTCCTGTGTGAGTGCGCTTGTGTGCCTGGAGAGCACTGGAGGCAGCACACAAATATCCACATGTATCACATGCATATGGTTTCTCTCCAGTGTGAATGCGCTTATGTGCCTGGAGAGCACTGGAGGTAGCACACAAATATCCACATGTATCACATGCATATGGTTTCTCTCCCGTGTGAGTTCGCTTATGTATCTGGAGAGTACTGGAGGCAGCACACAAATATTCACATGTATCACATGCATATGGTTTCTCTCCTGTGTGAATGCGTATATGTATCCGGAGAGTACTGGAGGTAGCACACAAATATTCACATGTATCACATGCATATGGTTTCTCTCCTGTGTGAATGTGTATGTGTTTCTGTAGATC